CCGGGGCAAAAAAAAAAAAAAAAAAAAAAAAAAAAAAGAATATTATATAAATGAAACCGTGCAACATGTAACCTTTTGAGATTAACCTTTTTCACTGAAATTAACTTCTTCCATCTAAGTAGTTTTTATCAATAGTTCTTTCCTTTATTGCTGGGTAGTATTCCAGTATATAGATGTACTACAGTTTGTTTACCCATTCATCCATAGAAGGACATTTGAATTTTTTCCAGTTTTAGATTCTTCCAAAAAAAAAAGCCTGCATGCTATGACTGATAAATGAAAAGTAGAAAGTCTCAGATCCTTCACAGCAACTTGGGAAAACTATGAAGGGCCATTCCAGCTTCAGAGAGACCTGTAGGGTCAGCTCAAATCTTTTTTGAGACAGCATTGTAGCCCAACCTCTCTTTCTGGCCAATCTTGTTTCCTTCTCTCCCATACATCTTAAAGAGTAGGGTAAGAGCCCACATAGGGGAGTCAAGAGCCTAGGAAAACTAGACTGCAAAGCCACTCCCAGGCAACACATTTGGGCTCTAATCAAGAAACATTTCCTGCCCCTAGAGTATAAGTCCTCGACAGTGTGCTATTCAGGTGGATTTCAGAATTGCTATGGATCACTTTTACGTATCTCTTATTCATGCTCTTGTTGACAGGAGTCACTTATTTTGGTTATCCTATCCTCCTCTCTCCATTATATACTGGGAATTTGTGGGGGTGAGTGGTGCAGACAACTTGCTTTTCTAATTTACAAGTCTTTGAATTGAGAGAGCTATACCCAAGGAGCTGCATTTGAGGAACCTCATCCACATCTGGACCTGATTTAAAGATGAGAGTCTGGACTTTGAGCCTGATGCTATAACGAGATGAGATTTTGGGGGTTGGTGGTCAGTGTGTTTTGTATTTAGATGGCATGTGAATTATTTTGTCCAAAGAGCAGAAAGTAGAAGATGATTTGCAAAGATGGCTGCAGTAATTCCTCCTCTCCCAGTTTGTAAGACCCTTTAAATGAGGAAAGGTAAAGTCTGTTTTTCCACCACTTAAATCTGGGTTGGTCTTGTGACTTGCTTTATTCAAAAGAATGTAGTGAAAGTGATGCTATACAACTTCAAAAGCTCAAGAGACCTTGTGACTTGTTCTCTCCTTACTGGAACCCAAGATCACTACAAGAATTAAACCTGGGTTAGCTTCCTTGAGGGTGAGGGATCATGTAGAGAGAGGCCTCAGCTCACAACCAAAACCATCCACCAATCATAAGAATGAGGCCATCTCAGACAACCAGTTCCAGCTGAGCCAAAGATAACTATGATGCTTGAGTGACCTCATGTGTGATCAGCAAAAGTACCAATTAGCTGAGCCCAGTCCAAATCGCTGACTCACCGAATTGTGAGCAAATAAGATGACTTTAAGCCATACCTACTTCCCATTATCTTCAACTCCCCCATTCTGCAAACATACACAAATCAGCTGGAACACTGATAAAAAAGGATAGATGTGAAAGGAAGCCTGACGTTCAAGCTGAAAAGGCTGTGTGTGTGTGTACGTGTGTGTGTGTGTGTGTGCAGAGACAAGAAGCTCACACCTGTAGGTAAGCTCTCCCTGCCCCTGATATCAATAAGATGGAGCAATATTTCTCCATAAGGCACATATGGGTCTCTCAGATGCAAAAATTCTAACATGTATTCCAATCTGGCAACTTCCACCACCCATTACTTTCACTGACTATCCTGTAACAGAAATTTTCTTTTTCATATCTTACATATCTACCTTCAGGTACCTTACCTTCTTGTATAAGTTCTGAGCTTATACATTTGCTTCCAAGAAATAAAGAATGTGGTAATTCTTCTGGTTACAAGTTTGTTTCAGTGGTATATCATAAAGTAATCTTTTTGAAAACATTTAAAATGTCATGTAGGTGTCCAAATTTGAATTAAAATTAATTCGCAATGAACTAAACTGATAACCGGATGAACAGTACTAACCATCTAAATGGAACTAAATTTGCACACATGCAGGCTATAATGACTTAAACAGTTTAGTCTTCTGTCTGATGGCTGGCAAATGTTTTTTCACATATAACAAGCATTGTTATTTAAAAATTAGTAAGATGTGAATAAACATTTTCCTCCACTTCATAAGAACATAGTTTTTTTTTTTAAAAAGAGAAGGCACTTTTTATTAAAGCATAATTTATATTCAGTGAAATTTATAGACCTAAAGTGTATAGTTTGATGAATCTTTCTGGGATGATGAAAACGTTCTATATCTTGGCTTACTTGGGTGTATGCAGTTGATGAACCTTGACAACTACATACACCCAAGTAAGCCAAGATACAGAACATTTTCATCATCCCAGAAAGATTCATCATGCCTTCCTAGTTAATCCTTTTCCCCTACCCTGGTCACCAGGAAACCAGGGTTCTGCTTTCTTCTTCAAAGATTAGTTTGTACTCTTGTGCCTTTTGCTCAGCTC